TATATATATATATATATATATATATATATATATATACTATATATATATATATATATATATATATATATATATATATATTTATATATTTATATATTTATATTTATATTTATATTTATATTTACATTTATATATATTGTCGTGTGAACTGAAAACGCGCAAGGATACTGATATATGCACTTTAGCTTAAAGTTCTATATGTATGTTGTGCTTGTGGGACGGTGCGGTGGACACTATGTCGAGTCTTTCTTGAGAGCTTAAGGCATTCAAGATCACTGATACGTGCATGGCATGCTTTGTAAGATGTCTGTGTAGAACTGCGCTCTTTATATCTGGCTTCATACCGTGTGTGACAATCTATACCACCAACCTGTGCTAGTTTGTTGTAGAATTGCAAGGTACTGAAAGGGCACTGGCGTATGCATGGCATGGTTGCACCTGATAATGTGAAGCTGGGTGCCCACGTCTCAGCGTTAGGCATCTTTATAGTGTACTTTCAGTTGAGTAAGCTTCTACACCACTTGGCATCAATAGACAACTGCCCTCGAGGCCTGCACTGGTTCTCAATTTTGGACTCACTGGGCATACATGGCCTGCTTCTATTGACAACAGACAGTAGCTTGGGTGGGGGTATCCGTTGCTCATGCACTCGTATCCAATTAAACAGGTATCAAACTGACGGGACGACTGAATGGCTGGGCCTCTCCCAAGGACGTGGTACTTCATCTGGTCGGCAAATTGACTGTGAACGGTGGAACCGGTAAGTTCACATAAATAAGCGAGTATCACGTAGACTGGCGCTTAGCTACTACTGTGTATGTACACTCAATGGGGATAAGAGCTCATCCCAAGCGCATGGGTTATATTTATATATATGTATAGACCATAAGTAAGAGGTCGGATGAAAGTGTAAGTCTTTCGTAAATGCCGTTTATTTTCAGGACACCAATTCGAGTTCTTCAGCTCAACGGTTTGATCCAACACAGCTTCATACACAGTGCACTTCTTCGAGTGTTTTGGTTTAACGCTTTGATCCACACATAGCTTCATATACAGTGCCCTTCTTCGAGTGCTTTGGTTTAACGCTTTGATCCACACATAGCTTCATCATACACAGGGCACGTCTTGGAGTGCTTTGGTTTAACGCCTTGATCTACACATTAACGTCATCCACAGGGCACATCTTCGAGTACTTTGGCGAGGGTGTCGAGTCGCTCTCCTGCACCGGCATGGCCACCATCTGCAACATGGGCGCCGAGATGGGTGCCACCACCTCTGTCTTCCCTTACACACCAAGCATGCACGACTATCTAGTGGCCACAGGCCGAGAGCAAGTGGCCACCCAGGCAGACGCCTTCCAGAACGAGCTACTGCGTGCGGATGAGGGCTGTGAGCAAGCGCAGGTGTACGACCGCGTGGTGGAGATCGACCTGTCCAGTTTAGAGCCGCATATCAGTACGTGCACAGGGAGTTTTCATGTGTATCAATGAGTGTATGTGTCCTGTATTACGGCTACGCCTGATAGAAATAGATCTGACACCATAGTGAAATGTACTAGTGCATCTTTTAAATGATAACGCAGGTGTCCTAAGGTGAGCTCAATGAGAACAGAAATCTCATGTAGAACAAAAGGGTCATTACTTAGACTGGCACAATGAATATCCACCCTACCTACAGACGGGCCTTTCTCGCCCGATCGCTCGTTCCCACTGTCAGAGTTTGCCAAGGCTGTGAAGGAAAATAACTGGCCTACGGAACTGAAGTCTGCTTTGATTGGCTCGTGCACCAACAGCAGTTACGAAGACATCACAAAGGTATTGTGGTTGATCGTTTTGAGTGTGTACAAGCACATTGAGTAAAACATGTATACGCACATGTTTCTAGGCACATTACCTCGAGTGAGGACACGAGATATGCTTTTATAGAATACAGTGATATACACAGGATGCAGCTTCTCGCGTATGTATATGCGTATATGTACCTGTATGCGTATGTGTATGTGTATGGCTGTCTGCATTCGTGGCCGATGACTCATGTATTCTCATGTCATGCGTTTTAGTGTTATTATAGTTATAGTTTTTTAAGTTAATGGTTTAGGGGTTTAGGGTTTATGTTTCCTCTCAAGCTCAGCTGCGATGGAAGATACTGACTATAGCCCATATTCGTACCACCACCTGACAGGCAGCTGATATTGCCAACCAAGCCAAGGCAGCTGGTCTCAGTGCGAAGTCAGAGCTACTCATTACACCTGGATCCACTATGATTGAGAAGACTATTGCGAGAGACGGCCTTACCCAGTCCCTGACGGATATTGGAGGTAAACGATGCGATACCTGGAGTATTTAACTATACTCGCATACCTACCACACATGGATACGTTCGTACATACACTGGAATGTTACTACAGCCTTGCAATGTTTGAGATTAATGCATCTGTTGTTTGTGAGAAGCTCGGGAAAGGCTCTATATACTATGCGTTTCGTAAAACCCGAACCCCCACCCCACCCCCTTATCCCGGTACTCAATGTCAGAATACACGAGCGGCGCTGTGTGTGATAGTTCAGTAGGAAGGCGGGAGTGACGTATTCTCTGATACCACATCACACCATTGCGCAAGTGTTCACGTGCAGTGTAGTAGATTTCTGATCCCAGTTTTGACCCGTCGAGGTGTACGACCGACTTGCTCACGCATTTGGTGGCTTGCTCATTTGGCAGTACTCGCCAGTGATGTGCTTCGTTTTCTATTGAGATGCTGCCGGCTGTTCCTTCGTTTGGTTATTCGTATCGTTGATAAAGTGTTTTTTTTGCCAACGACTGTGCCACTGCTGCGGTGCTTTATTAAGGTGTTCGATACTCTGCTCATCTTATTTCTATTTATATCTATTTAAACGTTAGGTATGGTGCTTGCTAATGCATGTGGTCCATGCATCGGTCAGTGGAAACGTCATCTGGATGACGAGAACGAACCGAACGCGATCATCACGTCATTCAACCGCAATTTCGTCAAGCGTAACGATGGCAATCCCAAGACATTGAACTTCCTTGCCGCGCCAGGTACGATTTAAATTGATATAGATAGTCATGGTCTAGTGTATACTTATATTAATTTTCCACAATCTCAGAGAGAGAGATATCTATATGTGTATATG